CAATATATTTTCCCCCCCAGTTTTCCAACAAAATCTTCCCTCTACAACCCTCTACATTGCGAGTAAATCTTCACTCTGGGCAACTAAATGATGTCTAATATTAGCCAATGGCTAATACATTCTCAGATTTTATAAACACTCTCTGATTGAACGCTTCAAAGTTTCACTCTCCGTCAACCGATCTGATATTTTTCAGTTCATCTGAATGGATGCGCAGCACACCTGTGTTTGACGTACCGTAAACTCTAGTGTGTCTCACACACACGCAGAGAGAGAGAGAGAGAGAGAGAGAGAGAGAGAGAGAGAGAGAGAGAGAATTGATGCGCTACATGTAAATGATATTCTTTGTTGTATTTTCCTGTCAAAATAACAGCGTTCCTTTGGAATTCTTCAGTTTTTAAGAACTGCTGCTTTCTCCGGTAGTGGGCGGAACTAATGCACAATTATTATCGTTTATTACTATTATCGTCCCTGTTTAGATTTCAGCAAATCAGTTCGAGCGAATGCACACTATGCTACACTTAAAATTATGTTGTTTTTTTTTTAATACTGGGAATTAAATAGTGGTAAGATGAACAATTTTTGTTAAGCCACTTAATTTGATTAGAACATTAGAGAACAGAAGTATTGGCAATGCATACTTTTTCCTCCAGGTATTCCACAAAATCTTCCCCCTTCTATCTATCTATCTATCTATCTATCTATCTATCTGTCCATCTTCTGTCTGTCCGTCTGTCTGTCTGTCTATCATTCGTCTGTTAATTTGTCATTTAGATAAGGATGATCTACTGTTTTCAGTTATGCTACACATAAAAATAGGATATTATTCATACTTGGAACAAAATATTGGTAAGGTGAACAGTTTTTGTTAAGCCACTTACTTTGATTAGAATAGAAGTAGACTTTACTCTCCCGTTTTCCCAGAATTATTTCTTTGGTTTTCCCAGACTTATTCCCTCTGGTTTTCCCATAAAATCTTCCCCCAATTTATTTATTTGTTTTTTAGATAAAGGATGATCAAATGTTTGCAGGTATGCTGTAGCTAAAATGGGGTGTTGGTAAAAAATATATTTTATATATTCTGTTTATATATTCTTTTTTCATGATATTTGTCTATTAGACAAGGATAATCAAATGTTTGCAGGAATGCTACACCTAAAAATGGAATATTATTCATGCAGAGAACTAAATATCGGTAAGGTGAACTGCTGTTGTTAAGACACTTACTTTGATTAGAATAAAAATAGATTAGAATAGTACTGGCAACAAACATAGGCATGCAGGCCGATATGATACACAAAAATGCTGTCTAAGTAGGGAACTCACTAGGGTTTGTGACACAGCCATCGATTGAGGGTTGATCTACTAAAACATTACGCATGTAAAGGCAATTATTTAGTGATGAGTATTATGAAAAATGCAAAGTGTCAAAACAAACGCACATTTCTAAATACAGACCGGACCGTTTACCTGAGGCGAGGTGAATTGTGACGTTAATTAAAGGTTTTCTGCAAATATATTATTTACGCGTGGGAACAAAATACACAGAGCACTGCAAAGTGGGATTATTTTGACTACGGGCTGTTGCTAAGAAACGCTGCAAGAGCTCTGTAGTTCATTTAATAGTTGTTCATCCTTATCGAATAGGATTTTGCACGTGAATGACTATGCACCCGCAGGTTGTTATCCATCCGCTCATACAACATGTGCTCGACTACAAGCTTGAGATGCTGAACAACAGTAAAGCAATTCCGATCATTCTGCATACTGTGCATTTGCTCCTCGTGTAATTGTCATTGAGGATGCTTTATTTTTGTGGTCTCCATTGCTTTTTTTTTTAATTAACCTGTCATACAACTCCAGTGTGTAGAGTGTTTTTTGCATCTTCTCTCCAGGTGATGCACCTTCTGTTCTAGTTCATCACACATAAATTACAAATCTTTACGCTACAGAGACAATTGTCAATTAGATTAGTGGTTTTCAAGCTAGAGCTCGGGGACCCCAGGAAGCCACAAAAGTGTGTAAAATAAAATAAAATAAAATATACAAAATAAGTTGTAAATTAAATTAATTTAACTTTATTATGGGTAGAAAAAATACCGTGTCAACTTAATAGAAAGTAAATACTTTTCAGATAATATTTTATATTCATTTATTTTAATTTAAAATAAAATAAAATATTTTTCACAATATAAGTTGTAAATTAAATTCAATTTAATAAAATAAAATAATTCACTATAAAAAAATAAAAAATAAATAAAAAAATAAAATAAAATACACTGTGAACTTAAGTAAATATTTTCCAGATTTATAATTTTTTTTTACAATATAAATTGTGTTTTTATACATCAAAATCTATTTGTCTTGTATGTTTTAGGAAGGGGCCCCTTGCAATCCATTCATCATATTTGGTAGTTCATGGCATCAAAAAGTTATAAAACACCTGAATAAAATGGCACTGTAGGTTGGTAAATGTAGTTAACTGTTATCTGAATCCTTTAATCTGGCCATTGAGGAGCCAGGGTTTGCTGCAACTCTTCACCTATGTACAGGCTCACTGGATCATCCGATTTAAACCAGGGATTTAACCAGAGAGAGATACAGCTCCCAGTATTGCCTTCATAGATCAACTCAAATACTCATGCTATTTATGTTATACTGCCTGACGCCACAGTCTTTTGAAAGTCAGCATGTACTTTGAAGACACCTTCGCCATCTTAACAAGTGCTTGAAATGAAAATTGAATCAGTTAAAGATGTAACCAAAAATTGAGATAACACACACCTTGCATGCAATTTGCATACTTTTAGATTTATAAAAAGTGACTAACAGCATTAGTTGCACACACAAACAGATGCACAGGCTCTGCCTCTGTTGCTGATATTCGGTTGCTCTGCAGCAGAAATCAACATGCAGTCAGATAGTATGAGACGCCGCAGTGTTACGCTATAGCACAGCGAGAGAAAGAGACATGGAGGTTGTAAGTGATGATTAGCAATCCGGCACGAGGCCCTGCACCCATACAGCAGCCCGCTAATAAAACACTATGCGTGTCACTGTTGATAAAAGACCTCCATTCAATGACGACGCAGTAAAACGATGACGGCATCTCTCCCTCCCCTTGAGAACTGTGAGAAGAGCTGGGTAACTTACAATCAGAGACACTTCAAACACATTAAGAGCAATTCTGCAATCAAATGCAACCCAAAATGCAATCGAAAACTGATCAGTTAAATGGAACCCTGGGCTCATTTCAAGAAAGCAAGTGTGTATCGACTGCTCATGACTATGATCTATTGACCCAGATGTGCCGCGGGAGATAAATATCTTAAATAACCAGCCTGCGCTGATAAAGGAGATAAATGGTCGCTGTTCACTAGCTCGTAAATGACGTATTGAGAGGCAAAGGGTGAACTGCCTTTCATGTGCTCCAGCTTAACCAACAAGGGTTAGTAAGTGACTTTGGTTTCCTAAAATTGCTATAGATTTGTAGCTATATAACAAAAAAGATTATTGTCTGACAGGAAAAAAAAAATCTTTATTTAAAATCTTGATTACTTATTTAAAAAGGCAAGTAAAAAAGTTAGGTGCGTCTAATTGGGCTGCAATCTGTGTAAAGTCTATGAATTCATATGACCTTATTATGCTCATTATCCCAAAATTGGGATCCCAAGTGTGGCACCCAGAAAAAAAAAATTAATTTAAGCTTCAGGTCTGGATGTGAGATGGATGTAGAGATTATCGGGTAATTGTGGTGCCAGTGACATACAGGGCTTCTGCCGAGTAAGCAGGAAACTGATTCAGTTAAAAGTAAGACCCATGGGAAACTCAGTAGTTCCCGGGATACCGTGAAGATCCTGTGCTTCCAAAGTGGATACATACCTAAGCACAACCTGACACCAGTAACTTGCTTTGGTAAGCTAGAATTTTCTCAAATACAGTGCCTGGTTAAACCTATAGCATTTTAGGGGGTCACATAATTTACGTGATCAAATATGCAAAATAGCTAAAACGTTTGTGAGCATGCTTACTGTCAGGCACAATTGTTCCAGCAAAGCAGGAACAGTGGGAAAAACATTCTTCTAACATAAAAAAAAAACATTCACAGTTTACAAGGTAACGCAGTTCATAGCCAAAACTCAATAGTGCCCACCTCAGTCAGGGTAAATGCCCTGTGACGTCCAATATCGTAGAGGTCTGCCAGGTAACGTTCTGCAGTATGGACAACAGCGAAATGTATTAACACTTTGCGCCTGCGCAATGACTGGCGGTTGAGATATGAATGCGTGTCTCATAATTAAGAGTTCACTTTTGCGATAATTACCGTCTGACTGATAATTATTCGTCTTGCGAGACACTTATTCGGCAACTAAATGAACATTAAATATTGATTTGAGTGGAAAACATTTTATTAGCTTACTTGTAGTGACCACGATTGAACACGACCACAGCTATGACATATTTGATCGCTGAATGCTGCGACTGACGAATTAGAATCAACTTTTTAGAATCAACGTTCTTCAAACCATTAAAGCAACTTTCTTTTCAACATTCAAGTGAGGTTATAATTACATTAGAAGCAGAAGCAAAAAGGTAAGTTAAAAAAAGCGAGACAAAGTGCTGAGGAGGCGACTGCGCATGCTTAGAGCTCGAGACGCAGCATTCACCGACAAATAATGCGCGTGGAGACAGTGACAGACAGCGAGACAAAATACTGCATTTATCAGAGAGAGTGACAAAGAAACGCCCCACATAACGAACCCGAGTCTTTTCTCTCCGAACGCAGCTAACAAACTTTCCAAAAGTGTACAGCTTGTGCCAAGTGCGACAGTGATTGGACTATTGCGACTCTTTCGAACCAGCTCATAATTCCATGTGCACGAGAAATATCCAGTCAAATACTAGCTGAACATGTATCAAAAGTTCGATTGAGTGAGCTCCAAACTGCTACAGACACGTTTAATAAAGCAGACTAACAAGATGCCGGTGCACTCACTCACCCTGGCGTATTTGGAGGAGTAGGGGTCCTCAAACAGCGCCCAGATGCGCGGCTGCCAGGTACTCCACCAGCTGGGGTTGCGGCCATCCTCCTGTAGACACAACCTCTTCAAATCCCCGTCCGCACCACCCGTTAGCGCCGGGTCGTCCTCTGGCAGGTCCGGCTCGGGCGTCTCGAAGCTGTCCAGCGCTTCCTCGGCGTCCCGATGCTGTCGGTAGTTCATCCAGCAGCAAGCCTCCACGTCTGTCTCGTCGATACCCCAGAACGCGAGTTCCTCCTCGAAGAGAGGACCGCAGACGTCGTTGGGACAATGCAACTTCCCTGTGCGGTAATAATTGAGGATAAAAGCAAAGGTGTTGGGGTGGCGGTCAAAGAAGAACTCGTCGGATTTGGGGTCATAGTCAAAGTTACTGAACGCATCTGGCTCCGTGAGCCAGGACAAGCGCGTCCCAGGCAGCGTCTTCAGTGTGCTGCGGTACGTCTCGTGCCGAATCCCCCCGCAGTTTATCACTATTTTCTCGCTGTCTGACGGACAAGTCATGTCTGCGCTGTAACATGCTTTGTTTGACGACTTGTTCCCACCCTTGCGCCCTTTGAAAGAGGAGACACACACCGAACTGAGCATAGAGGAGCAGGGGGAGGGAGTACAGTATCAGACTGGTCAAAGTAACCTGTCTTTAACTCATCACATCCTTAGTTCTTGCACCGGTTACTAATGGCTCTGTACAACCGCAGGGAAAATTGTACAAAAGCTGTCACGGGGTGGTACCTTTTCAAAAGTTATTATATGCTTAGAGGTTCTTTATTGGAGTCTATGGTTCCATGAAGAATCTTTAACATTCATGGAGATTATTCGAATGTTCTTCACACTAATAAAAAAGAGGTTCTTTTAAGAACTGCTCACTGAAAGGTTCTTTGGGGAACCCAAGCCATTCTTCTATGGTTCTACTGCAAAACTTCCTTTGGGAACCTTTATTTTTAAAGAGCCAAATATGTACCATTTAAGTATACTAATACGTACCCATTTAGGGGTAAATGCATACAAAGGTGTGCCTTTTAAATGGTACTGCCCCAGTTTTGTAACTTTTTTAAGTGTATGTTGTGCAATGCAATGTCAATCCAGATTTTTTCAAAAGCCTATTGAAATTTGGAAGAAACTGCAAATATAAGACCATTGTCGAATATCATAAACCTAAGGTCCTTTATGGTATAGTCTACTCATTGGGCTTGGAAAAGAGAGGGCCTGTCCATAAAACGGTGTCAAAATGACGGCCCTAGCAAACATACAAAATCAGATGAATGATGATGCAAGTATATGGGATAAGCGTTTTAATAAAGGAGTGAGTTCAATATACTTCAGGTGTCCCATAATAAACAGGAAAGAGACCCCTCCTCCTCTGCAATGCCCACCCATCTTTCCTTTTCCGTCTTTTGCCATCACTCAGCTCTCATGTCCCTCAATTCACTAAAACACTCTGCTCAATTACAGCGAACAGAGATGAAAATGACTGAACATTTCACAGCCACCCCCCTCCCCACACTCTCAGCGTATCTAATAGAAAGAGGAAGAGGAAGAAAACGAGAGCGAGAGGAAGGGTGGGTGGAAGAGGGAGAAAAGCTAAAGGCAGAACGATTATTTGCTGAGCTACACAAAATAGGGAGAAAAGACTGCAGAGCATTAACTCTTACACTGTCGCTCTCTGGGCAGTGCTAATGTTATGCAGACCGTTCAATACAATCTGTGTACAGTATTAACCTTGGTTACAGGCGTAAAATCCAGAAAAGTGTAATTGTTTTGAGTGTGCAATCGTCAAATTTTCCTAAAAAGGGTTAGTTTCACATAACCTCTCATATGCATATTCATGTTTTCATTCCATTACACTAAGCAAGTGCTTTAAAAACTGAATGTTTCTACTTCATAGCTATAGTGAAACAAATGAGTCCTGGCTCTCTTTTTCCAATCAAAACGTCCCATTTTGGAAATATGGAGCAGGGACGCTATTATCTTTTTCTCTTGGGGTCTCTGTGGTAACATGCCATTTGTAGCTGATTTAACCTTTAAAAATTACTTTTGTTAGTGTGACCTAATGTAGGCACATTGACTCCCTCGTGTTAAATAAGGGTTTTAAATGTAATAAAACAAGTTACTACATGAAGCACTTTTTACTGTTGCCTAGCAAAACATTTTTTACAGTGGACAAGGGTCAGATTTCACAGACAAATGTTTTGCGGTGTTGTCTCTTTTTGCTTTCACAATAACTCAACTATATCTGTTCCTCTTGCTTTTCCTGTGCTGCATGGCTGTTCCATACATATCTGTCAAACTGTCTTCCCTCATTACTTATCCACTCTTATCCATTCTCCTCAGCTCACTCTCCCTCTTGCTTTCCCTTATGTCCCCCTGTGATTAACTGTTGAAACAAAGATCACAGGAATATGAGAACTGTTGGAAGGAAAGAGGCTGAATCATATGAAACAATGTAATTGAGACAGTTAATGGGTTTCTGCTTTCAGCACCACTGACAGAGTTTCAGTTAATCATTTAAAGCAGTATAAGCATTGGAAATGAAAATGAGCAAAACAATGTTTTATAACAGAAGTAAACTGAAGAGTTATAAATAAAATACAAAAATAAACCTAATAATAATCATAATATAAAGTAATTATAAAATAATAATGTAAAAACTCAACCCACAATTGTGCTGGTGTTACACTGCTTTTACAATCAATATTCTCCGAGTAGTTCTCATAATTATACACAACTAAATCCTCAAAAGTGGAAACACTTTGGCTCTGCTACACCATCAAAACATCACTATGTTTGTCTGGGCCTCCCAACATATTAATATTAGCTAAACCAGTGCCGTTTTTGCAAGGTGTTTAAATATGTCAGGCTTGTATAGTGAAATAAATAACTATAAGGAACACAAAAGGAGTAAATAAATAAAACGATGAATAGGAAAAACTGAAACTGAGAGGAAACTAGGGGGGAAAAGTTGTGCTGACAATGCAAAAAAATAAAAAGGCTCTCACTAAAAGGGGAAATCATTGTTAAGTGTGTGTGCCTGGATGGGGGTGTGTATGTCCGTTGGGATGGGGGTTGGTTGTAAGGACAGATACGCCTATAAAAGACAACAGCACTATATCGACAGAGAGCACGGAGAGAGGAAAAAGGGAGAGAACAGGTTACGGCCACTGAGGGAAATGTGAAGGAATGACTGCAGTAAAGGTAAATGAAGCTCCATTCATAAATTATTCAATTTCTAGAAACAATGCCAAAGAGAAGTGATATATACATGCATTTTTATGAAAAGGAAGTAGAACTGAACCATATCTATGCTATTTTTCTTTTATCGTACAGTATGCTGCTGTAGTGCGTGTGCATTGTACCTTCACTCTAACTCCCTTTCTCTCTGTCTGGTGCAGTGTAGGTTCTTTGGATTTTTCTGCTTGCTATCCCACTGCAGTTGAAGCTCGGCGGTGCTCAAAGGCCACCTAGAGGACTCATTGGGGAACTGCACAGCACAAAATACTGCAGTACCCCCTCCTCTTCAAGCTTTCTCCCGGACTGAGGTATGGATGCCTTATGCAAACCATCTGTCGATGCATTGCATACAGGTTTGTGTCCCTTTTTAGCCCATACACCCTTTTAATTAAATGAAATCACTTAACAAATGCAATTCAATCGCTGAATTATATGAACTGACTATGTATTATCTCGGAGCTTTCTGATCTCAGTGATTAAGGCTTTTTGCAATCCCTTCCTCGTTCTCTCTCTCCCTTATTTGTGTGCACTAAGCTACTCTCAGTCGAGTTGCTCATATCGACGTCTCTTGTGGAATAGCACTAAAAGAAAATAAATTAACAGAGCAAGGACGCTTATGCACACAAACACAGACACATTAAAAAAAAAAGCAATGTCACAGCACAATTAATTAGCTTTAAATTAAATTAAGCTGTGCAAAGACAAACTACAAAGCACTGGCACATATGCATATACGATATATCCTCAGAAGGTCATCAGTCAGACTTTGACCTCTGCTTTGAAACTAATCACAGCTCTGTTCTCAGCCCTTTTCAAAAGGCCCACTCTTTATTTTCAGTCAAGAGAGTGAGAAAGAGATTCAGAAAGGGACTTAGAGGACTCATCTTACAAGTGACAGCATTGAGACGTGCATGACTATATTCCCATATCTAGCACTAACAGTGTTCTTAAGATAGTTATAACCCTCCCCCCCCCCCAGCCTCAGCTCTCGTTAAAACCTAATTAATAAAAGTGCCCTCTCCAGTTAATTACCATCCCTTTATAGTCCCCCATTAAGTACTCAGGGAATGGAGCCGGAGAGAGATGGGATATAATTGTGTTAAGCCAAATCACACATGAACTTGATGGAAACTATTCTTAGCGGTGGGAAAGAATGGAGTAGGGTGACAAAAAAAACAAAAACAAACGGAGGACAGTGAAGATCAAAACGGGGGTCATCTCAGGTGATGTGTAAGGGTCGTACTGTTCGGAAGGAGTGCATCTGTAAGGATGCAAAATCATGGAAAGGCATCAGCAAGAGGGAGAGTAAATGGTTTGAAATAAGGCACTGCCAATGGGATGTGAGTGGGCAAAGGAGGGAGGGGGAAAAGGAGGGACCAAAAGCTGAGAGAAACAAACAGAAAAAGTTTAACTGGTGTATGTGATAAGATGAGAAAGTGTAGAGGAAGAGGAAAACAAGTTAGAACAAAAGTACTGATTATAGATCAGTAGGCTAGTTCTCAAGTTCAGGGCCGGTTGCATAAAGGTTGCTTAGACTAGTCTTAAAAAGTTAGTCATGTAATTTTTTTTCTTCTAGACTAGTCACAACTTTTTAAAATCAGTTACAAAAAGGTAGACTGCTCTAATTTGAATTGAAAAGTAAGACTGGTTACCCCTTGGCTAACTCCTAGTTGGTCAAACTAGTTCTTAAGACACAGTCTTAACATAGTGACTATGTTTATGCAACTGGCCCCAGGGCTCAGATAGTTAAAAGTAAACAATTTGGTTATCCAACCTATACTTTCTATTATCTGTATTTAGCATTGTTTTATTTGGACCCACTTTATATTAAGTGGCCTTAACAACTATGTACTTACATTTAAATTAATCATTTGGTACAATGCACTTATTGTGTACATACATGTTTTTACATTGTACTTATATTTTTAAAATACCTGCATGTAATTACATCTGTAATTAATTTCTGTAATTACATTTATAATTACACTGTTGATCCATCCCTTACACCTTAACCCACCCTTAAACCTACCCATACCACCAAACCTGTCCCTAACCTTACCCGTATCCCACCTCAATAGCAGCAAATGTGTTTTGCAATACAATATGAACACAATAAGTACATTGTACTTATTTTTTGATGTAAGTACATAGTAGTTAAGGCCACTTAATATAAAGTGGGACCTTTTATTTTATTATCCGCGACCGTATAGGAACCCATTTTTTCGAGATCCACATGTTTTTAGAGTATTAGCAAGAGACATAGGGGTCATGGTATGATGAGAAGAGCCCCGTCTACAGTCAAAGCGAACTTTCTAGAGTTTTGTTCACATTTGATTGTAGAGAACCCTGCCAATGGGTAGGGAGTGATGGGGGGGGGGAGAAACTGCTTATGTAGTGCATGAAACGAGAACACTTGAGTTCCCTATAACATACAGAAGGCCATATACTTGGCTACTCTGTTTCAGAGGGGGGAAAATAGTGGGCAGACAGGTATAAGTAAGATTTGACATTTATGTTAACATAGAGAAAATATACATTCCATCACATATCAAGGTGACGTGACTGTGAAGAAAAAAATCAGACACCAATCATTGTGGGACATAAAACGTCCATGTATTTGTTGGACTGACAACTCAAAATAATGGAACATACCAGAAATACCTTAAAAAATATTACAAATAAAATTATGAAGGGGTTTAAGTTGTGTGGGAATTATTGAGTGACCTTTAGGGGGTCTACTTTTTCTGTCAGTAATTTACGTCTCACACCTCTAATAGACAGTTTTAACAAAATACAAGGTTGGTGTGAACGATCGATAATAATAGTGTACATCTATGATTATGTGACAAGTAATTTTGTTTTGACTTGTACCATCCGATACTAATCTACAGCGCTCGATGAGCGTACTGTTGCCATGGTTACATCCTCAGAATTCTATTTGCGAACGTCTACTTAGCATATTCTGACTAAAATTTGTAATGTGACTTTTATAGTTAGCAAAACGCTGTAATACCGTACAAGTGCTTATATGTGAAAAATAAATACCCCTCTCCCCTTTTCCCAAATCTTGATTATGGTGCGTAGACCAAATCCCTCCCATAATTCGCACACGAGTTTAAGTGGCAAAAACAAAGAAGACCTGACTACTACTTGTTGAGTTCGTTGACTGGCAGAGGCAGTGGGTAGGCAGCCCTGCTTTGCATCAGTACACCGGGCGCACAGACAGAAACACTCAGAACATAAGTGATATTTTGTCACTTGTACACAAAATCACGACACAGAGACAGCACAAACACCTATATTACATACTTACTCGCTTTGGGTCTGGCTCTGTTCGCGTGCGTGTCACTGAACACACACACATGAACACACAAACTGCACAAAAATGCTACGTGGAATTTACTGTTTTCTGACTGAACGGAGGGATCCTCTTGGCGTAGGTCCAAATGACTGTGCAGAAACCTAAGATTTTGTTCTCTATAAAATGGCTACAGTTATGAATAATGCAATATATTCTTGCTACAACACCTGCTAGTTCAAAACAACGCAACTGTGCTACAGTGCGTAGTTCAGTTCCTTTAGTGATACAAAAGACTAGCCTACGAAAATATATAATATATCACCCAAGTTGCACCTTTGATATCCTTGTTCCTCAAATAAATTATTCTCGTTATGTACATAGATGTTACAGGTCTAATATATAAAAAAGATTTGCCTGGTAAATAAGCATTTCAATTATTTAAAGCTCGTGGTAACCTTTTACTTTTATTCCCTAAACGAAACAGCCTATTCAACCAAGCGAAATGTGCAGCGGGGAAACACCTCTCTCTCTCTCTCTCTCTCTATTTGTTTAATCTTCATGCACTCACTCCATTAACAGTCTATCCCTCTCTTCTCAGTTTTAGCATCCTTTCTTCCGTATTCACCCGTTCCCGTTGTCCAGGGTTAAGAAGACCGTAACCAGGTCTTTAGTTGCAGACTGAGGTGTCTGTTTGAAATTATTTATGCCGATCAAGCAGCTTGCCAGGCACGACTAGAAATGTTATTCCTTAAGCTGCCTCTATTATTTCTTCCGTTCGTTTTTTCCCCTCCCTTTTTTCTCTGTCGATGTTTTTGTTTTGTAAATCTGTATTTCCATGCAATTTATTCCTCAGTCTAATGGTGACATGGGATCCCTCTGTGTTGTTCCCTCCCTTTAGCTTTTTAAAGGGAAAGGTGGCAGCTGGTGTCCCCTCCCCAAACCCCACCCTGTGCCATTTAACCATATACACGCCAAGAAACAAACCTGTCGCTATTTCCAGTATTTCTACTAGTGTTACCTTTATACATGATTTTTAAAACCTTTAAAACAAAACAAAACAAAATTCCCCAACACATTAATAAACATGTCTCTTAATGCAGAATTATTAAATAAAAAAATTATGGGTTATTAATGAACAATAAACGTAGGCTATAAGTTTAAATCCATGTTGCTAGTTTGATAGATAGACAGACAGATAGATAATGTGAAAAATGACACAAGAAATTATACAGAAAATAATAAATGGCATACAGATTACATCTTACATGTTGAAAAGCCTGTTGGCTATAGGAATGTGTCTTTCACATTGGTCACTCTCATAAATTACCAGTGTAAATCTATAACCCTGATCTCCAGTCAGTCCGTACAGATGTTTCTCCTTCTTATGGGTGTTCCAAACAAGACAGTGCAGTTTCTGTCTCTGTGTGAAAGAGACAACAACTTTACACCAATTAGGATAACACACCGCCCTCTGGTGGTGGAGGGTTACCTGTTAAAGTGCTTGAAGTCGGTCGTGGTTGTACTACGTACTGGTTCCTGCACAAAGGCCGTTTGAGCCGTTTCCAGCTGTCTGTACAGTGCCTGATTAAAATCAAGAGAAGTGTGAGTCATTCCATCAGCCTAGATGCTCCAGTGGAGATAAAACTGCTGTATGTGGAGCGCTACTGAATCCTCATGGCTATGAGAGCCATCCATTAAGATACTTTGCATGAATTAGCATTTTTTAAAATATTGATGAAGGTCCCTACTGCCTAACATTTAAAAAATACATTCTATTCAAATTAAAGAGATTGTTGATTTTTGGGTAAACTTTCAGTTACACTCCCTCATTTCTTTCCAAATCTGTACGACGTTCTTTCTTCAGTGGAACACAAAAGATGATTTTTTTTTTGCCCATACAATCGAAGTCAGTGGTTATGACAACTATTTGGTTACCAATGTTCTTCAAAATATCTTCTTTTGTGTTTTGCAGAAGAAAGTAAGTCATGTAAGTTTGGAAAGACATGACGGTGAGTAAATGATGACAGAAATATCATTTTTGGGTGAACTATCTCTTTAGGTTCAATCGACAGCATTTGTGGCATAATGTTGATTACTGAAAAAATGATTTATCCCTCATTTTCAATTTTTGGGATTTTATGGATGAAATTGTATAAATGTACTTACATTAATTGGCCTGTTAGATGTTCAAGATGTATATCATGTGGCTATACTTTTAAAACAGTGAGTATTTTAATGTTTACAGACTGTTCCATGTCACTTTCATTGTAAGAGCTTCAGATTTTTTTTTTTTCTAAAGAAAAGGATGGACAAGTAGAAATTTTTCCTGAGCCTACAATGTTCAGCCTCTTTATCTCACCTGCATCATGCTAAAGTGTTCAGCCGGAGGTTCACGTGCTGCTAATTGACCTCTGTAGCGGTCCTGCATTTCACTGATAGGATTAGAGACCACTCTCACTGTTGGCCGGTCTCTGAGCTGCAGAGGATCAAACAGACACATATGAATAATATACAGAAAGACATTTAGTAACAAAAACCTACCAAAATCTCCAAAGACACACACACATCTCACCCTCTGGGCCAGCTCGCTGAGGAAGTGTGTGGTCCAGTGCTCAGGGGCTTTAGAGTGGATTTCATTGTACAGAGATCCGTTCAGTGGCTTTCTGTCATGCTCAGTGTGCGAGGTGAGAGAGAAGTGAGCAGAGGCAGGAACTTTGTTCTGACGCTGGAGGACTGGAGGAAGAGGGGCATTCTGGGGCAGTGACAAGAAGGTATTTGAAGGTATCTATAGTATCACATCTTGTTTCTTCGGTTCTGTACCATTAGGCCAACGTCAACAAGAAAGGTTAAAGTCTAGGACACTTTAAACCTGAGGTTTACGATGCTATTAACATACTAACAAGGTCTTCCATATATGCAGTACATAGCATGGCATAAAAGCTCTAAATAAGAACATCAAAAACACAATATTAACTATAGTTTCTGATAAAGCCTAACTCTACAACCATTGTTTTCCTTGGAGTCCTTCAGGCGTCAACAAGAAAGGTTAAAGTCTAGGACACTTTAAACCTGAGGTTTACGACGCTATTAACATACTAACAAGGTCTTCCATATATGCAGTACATAGCATGGCATAAAAGCTCTAAATAAGAACATCAAAAACACAATATTAACTATAGTTTCTGATAAAGCCTAACTCTACAACCATTGTTTTCCTTGGCGTCCTTCAGGCAGACTAAACTCTTTAAGTTATTTTTGTTCAGTTTCGTTTTCGGTCAAATAAGTTGCTATAATAGCAAGCTGTCAGCTTAACTGTAGTAACAACTCCTCTTGTAACTAGGGTTACCATGATTTTTGTAAAAGTTAATAAAACAAGTCCTTCAGGCAGACTAAACTCTTTGTTAAGTTATTTTTGTTCAGTTTCGTTTTCGGTCAAATAAGTTGCTATAATAGCAAGCTGTCAGCTTAACTGTAGTAACAACTCCTCTTGTAACTAGGGTTACCATGATTTTTGTAAAAGTTAATAAAACAAACTTGGTTGGTAACCAAGTTTGATGTTTCTCGTGCCTAACTTACCTTGCCAGTTTTAAAGTAAAACGGAAAAGGTTGCAGTTGCGCGTGTCCAATGGTTGTGCTGGTTTGGACATTTCGTCTCTGGTTATCCATTTGCTTCATACACTCCCTCGCAAAAAACTGAAAATAAACAACCAAATAGATACAGGAACTCCTTTCCGTCGAAATTTAGACAGGTGAAATATTACTGATAAGACCCTTTACGTGTTTAGTCATAGATAATGCTGCCTCCATCCATAGGAATGGAGTCTGCCTAGTTTACGCTTATCTGCTGCTATGGAAACGAACGCGCGTCCAAGAAGAGAAATTAAATAAACAGTAACATTAAACAGTAATGTTAGTCCTCGATCATATGCGAGTTTTCCCGAGAAACGTGAACCTAAACAGTAAAAAAAAGATGAAACAATAAAAGTAAATAAATAACGTAGTCATTTCTATAATTATTATATATAGGCAGGTATTGGCTACTAGGATCTTCTTAGCAGTGCAAGAAGCTTTTTCTTTTCTTTTTTTTTGTGAAGTGAAAGTGGTTGCATTAGGGCCATTCACATTACAGATGAATTTAATAAAATCTATCAAAACAAGTCCTAGAACAGTCAAATTTAACTCCAAAAATCAAAAGAAAGAAACTAAAGTACATTGTGATATTTTCATGACAATGAATCCCAATTTTCATGACAATTAAATTCTAATAAACCATAATGCAAAACAAAGGCTCACTCTCATTATTACAAAAGGAATACAAATAAAAGGTATATGGTAAATTATTAAAATACCGTATTGTCCCGAATATAAGACGATATTTTTTTCTTGGGCCAATACGGGTTATATTTTGTCAAAACTTTGGTGATCATGGTAAATGTTTATAATCTGTGGGCATAAATTAACTCACCAGACTATTAAATTACATTGTTGGTTTTAATGTATGAATAAATATATAAATAAACTCAAAAATTCAAGCATTGAACATAGGCACTATGACTGGCAGCGCAAAGCCACTCATAGCAGCGCACTGTCGTGACGACCCTATTTGAGTATGCCACGCTTTGTACGGAGCAATCTGTTCATTCAGGAAGTGTCTTCTGCAATAACAGTGTTTGTGTACTCCTGATGTAGTTCACACAGAGCAGAACACATAATACAAGAATACTTACAGATATGGGATGCATAGCTTTAACTCTATTGTCAATGCATGTTTTCTGAAACACAGACTCGATACTGAATGAATGAATAATGGTCTAAGTAGGAGCAATCATGCCATTCAGTTCAGCAATAATCCTACGGCAAAAGACACAAAGTCCTATAAGTACACACACTCTGTATTTGCACTATGCAGCCAATTTTTAAAGTTCTCTTCTGTGCTAACAGACACACACAACCCCCGAGAACATCACAGGGTGCAGGGTCCACATAAGAACACAATAGAAAATTAGACTCAAGACAGACCAAATGCACTATACAGTCTCTCCCCCTGCATGGCCAGGGAAAACAGTATATTTGAGGTCTACATGTTTTGAGATCGTTCCACTAACATATAAATAGCTATGGGTAGTCTACACTGATCTCCTCTGGGTCTTCTGTCATCCTATAGGAGCAGAGAGGGTGGGAGAATGGATCAGCAGGTCAGTCCGAGGTCGAGACTGGTTAACCCCTGGACTCCAAAGACCTGTCAGTGAAAAGACAACGATGTACGAAATTTCAAAATACAGATAGGCTACGAGCGCATTCAGTAGAATATTGCATATTTCATTAAAGACATTTAAAGGGATAGTTCACCCAAAAATGAAAATTCTGTCATTAATTACTCAGCCTCATGTCGTTCCAAACCCGTTAGACCATCGTTCATCTTCGGAACACAAACTAAGATATTTTTGATGAAATCCCAGAGCTTTCTGACTCTGCATAGACAGCAATTCAACAACCACATTCAAGGCCCAGAAATGTAGTAAGGACATTGATAATATAGTCCATGTGACATCAGTTCGGCATCTGTCTGCGGCGCCCAGCTACGTCGTGTTGTACTTGTAAGAATTGTTCTAGACATGGCGAAAATTTGAAGCTACAGCACAGCAGCTCTTCTTCTTCGTTTTCTCCGATGCACTAACTCTGCAGCAGCACTTCTTCTTCATCGTCTCGTCTGATGCACTCACTCAACCAAGCGTTCTAACCACGAGCTCACCCCTCCCCACCCCCCAACCAACCCCAAGAATTTCTGTAGGCGGGAATTATTTTTAATGATATTCTAATGGGCCGCTTTGTGATATCACAAAGCCCGGAAACCAACGCTGTAGTCCAAACGAGCCGTTCGTTGTAGTTCTTGAAAAGGGATTGGACTTTGGAGTGGACTTTGAGATTTGTAACTTTCTAGATCTTTTTTATGCCCAAACATACACACTACACACTGACTAAAATTTAAAAAAGTGAAAAAGCATAATGGGACCCCTTTACCAATCACTTTAATCAACAATTTATTTTCTTCCGTGTCAGTCGACACATGTTCATGAGAGTACCACGATGTATACGTGCACACACTCGTAGCTTCATAACATTACAGTTGAACCACTAATGTCACATGGACTATTATATCTATGTCCTTACTACGTTTCTGGGCCATAAAACGTTTCAGTTGTGTTGCCGTCTATGCAGGGTCAGAAAGCTCTCGGCTTTCATCAAAAATATCTTAATTTGTGTTCCAAAGATGAACGAAGGTCTTAAGCCGGGCTCACACTACAGGAGTTTTAAAATCCTAACCGATTATGAAATCTGGTTGCAGCACACACATAAGGAGAATCTTTGCAGATTATCTTCCCTCAAATCTTAAACATGCACACACTACAAGATTTTAACATCGTGGCGCATCACACACTACAAGATATTATTAAGATTATCATGCCAGAGGGAGCGCCTCACGTGATCGCCTCGTGTAATGCGTGAGCAAGAATCTCACCGCAAGAATCCGCAAGCGGGTTTCCTTCACTCATACAAAACTGGACGTGTGCTTTTAACTATACATTGTTTTTTTTAATTTTATGAATTGACATTCAAAACTGAGGCGATTTCACTCCAGCGCTTCTCTTTCTCCTTACGGTTGTGATACGTTTTCGACACATTATACAGACAGTCATGTCACTATAAAACATCAAGAAGCAGTTTCCTCCGTCTCCACTATCCAACAGAGCCGTACAGCAGCTGTTTTGCGGTCGCGCATTGGCTATTGTGAAAGTACTGACGTAATCATATAGCCGTCATCATCCCGATTTAAATCCTAAATAATCAAACATGTTTGATATGATCGGGGCGACCCCGATTTGTGTGCGAGCAGATCGGGAGGTGTAAGATTCAATCGTTGAACGCCTCACATTACCAGATAATCCACGCCGAACATCGGGACCGATCGAGGGGCTCGACAAGATTTTTGCTCCGATTCTCAGGAGGGGGAAATCGGGGCTAAATCTGGCTAAAAATCCTATAGTGTGAGCCAGGTTTTACGGGTTTGGAACGACATGAGGGTGAGTAACTAATGACAGAATTTTAATTTTTGGGTGAACTATCCCTTTAACATGACAATTACATTTTTATTTTATTAATTTTAACAGTCTGTTGTACACACTGTCTACTGTAATAAACAAAATAGATGTTGTGAGATACACTACCATTCAGTAAGATCAGAGGGAAATGAGTGCTTTTATTCAGCAAGGATGTATTAAATTTCAAATGGATCAAAAGTGACAGAAAAGACATTTATGTTACAAAAGATTTCTATTTCAAATAAATGCTGTTCTTTTGTACCATTCATCAAAGAATCCTAAAAATGTATCACATTTTATGCAAAAAATATTAAATATCACAACAGTTTTCAAAACTGTTGAACAAAACAAAAATGTCTTCTGATTAATGATGGGCTGAGAGCTGATGAGAAAAGGAAAGAACAACAGAGAAAAGGTATGAAAGGAAAATAACGTAATAGCCACACTCACGAGTAGCTGGTATGTTGCTGGCGTCTCCTGGCACTTCTCATCTTCTCAAATCTGGCTTCCATCTCTTCTAGGACCTTAGGGGTGTAACGCACCACCAGCTTCACTGAACTCTGCGCTGCCTTTAGCAGCTCTACAGCTTTCTCATGATGTTCTCCCTCCACACTCTACACACAATGAAGAAATGAAGGACATTTTGACAGCTGTTATTCTGGCAAACCACAGCTCCTAAAATCAAGGTCATGGTCACACACAGAAATACAAATTATACAACTCAAAATCCTACTGTCCCAACATACCACTCCATTAACAGAGAGCAGCTGGTCTCCTCTCTTCAGACCACCCTGTCGGTCAGCAACACCCCCTGGGATGACCCTGGAGATGTAGATGGGAGAGTTTTGTTCTTTTCCACCCATGATGTTGAACCCAAGCCCCTCGTCTGTTTTAGGGAGTTCGACCACTCTTGGGTGTGCATGACCTTCACTGGCTGCAAACGCTGCTACTGTGGCCTGGAAAAAGACACCCAAGAAGTGTTTTCTTCAGTATATAATCATTCTCGATCAATATGGTGGCAATTTTTTGGTAAAAAGTTACCTTTGCAGTGGCTTGTGCTCGGACCTCTGGCCCACCTACAATGTCCAATGTATCATAAAGCTGCTCATAGACCTTAAAAAGGGACAGTTATTTCAAATTGTTGTAGTTTACAGTTAGTTAGTAACATTTTATAATGAATAAGATTAACAAATATTATCACATTACACAATGTTTTGCAGATCATTGATTAATATACATTCAAATACCAGAAATGTCCTGACACTTTGATTCATATTTTCAAGTGCATACATAATTCAGTTAACACAAACTGCTGATGTCTTTTAAACAATAATAATGTTCATTATTGACTTCATAAGAAATGATAATGTACAATATGTTGGTCATTATTGCAAAATAAAGCCCTGTAGTATCACACAAGAACTTGCCGTTATGGGTTTATTTTGTGACAATGACTGTGTGACTGTCCATTATCTTGCTTACTACACAGCTGTTGATTACCAAATAAATAAATGGACATGACATACTGATTTTAGTGAAAATAATTTATATTTATAATATGAGAGGAAAGAGACAATACCTAATTATATATTTAAGCTCTCATACAAAAATCAAGAGCTGTGTAATAATGAAAGTTATTAATCCTATGTAAGGTTTGTGACGTAGAAGGACAATTTTAGTGGAAAGAATCATAATCAAAGTAGACACTGATCAAAATCTTGTCTTCCTATAATATGTTATCTCTCAGCTATGCAAAAGA